AAGCACAATTTTTGGCGCCATGTACCCACAAATGGAGTATTTAAATCTGAGCTGGCAAATTTAAATCATGTGGAAGGTCGAATTTATCCTCAAGGAGATCAATACTCTCTCTCCATCCACTAGAGGGCAAAGGAGTATTTTCGCACATGTTTTTCCCTCAATCCTAACAGGTAGAAGAGGAGACCCAAAAAGAATACAATTCTTCTCCTTCTTCCTCTCGCCGGCCGGATTTTTCGGACAAGAAGAAGCCAAACATCTTCCAATGCTTCTATACCCATCCAAAATCTTCTACACATAAAAACCCACCACCCAAACCCAAAATCTCACACAAATATCCTCTAAATCCAAATACCCATACTCCCCACCATTTTTCGGACAACACTGCCGAAACACCCAATTTTTTTTCACCAAAAATTCCTAAACTCAAGTTCTATTCAAATGGAGGTTGATCAAGTGGAGATGGAGACAATCACTACCGGAGGGACAAGGAAGTCTAGCCGTGTGCTTAGTGGAATGATACTCGACATCATCGACTTCAACAAACAAGTGGAGGACAAAGCTTTAGGGGTAAAAATTATCAACTCTCTTGAATCTTGTGGGTTGTTAAATTTTTGCACCTTTAGATATGTTGGATTTTACAAGGATGAAGTGATCGAGTTATATATGCATGCTAGAGTTCAAAATGGTTCAATTATTTCTATGGTCAAAGGAGTTGATATAGAAATAAAAATCGATGATTTTCGGAGGATTTTCAATCTTGTTGAAACAAATTTGCGGGTAGAAAATCATGTGTTTGCTATTAATGCCACTTGGGCCGAGGTACGCGATGCAAACGCACCGCTAGCTCCTAGGATAAACGGCAATAAAAAGGATTTGAAGAAGGACTACGAACTCTTGTTGGATATTATACACAAGTGTGTTGAGTCTAGGTACCATTGCCGTGACAAGTTGTCGGGAGATAAATTGTTGATAATGGATATTATTTTGAACAATGTTTGTGTTGATTGGGGTGCATTTGTGTTTGGGAGATTGTGTGAATCCTTAAAGAAGGCAAAACCTTTGGTAGATGGTTGGTTTCAACAGGAAGTCAGTTATGGTTTTGCAATTGGTGAAATTTTGAGGACAAAGAATGTGACTTTATCCAAAGCCAAACATGCCACAAACCACAATTACCTCTTTCGGCCAAACACAACCGAACCCAAAAATCCCACGGTACCCACAATACCCAAGCCTACCCGAAAAACAATTTATTCGAGAGCCAAGCAATGAAGGATCAAACACCCCTGCCATTCGATCCAATGAAGAACAATCAAGCCACCGAATAACCACAAGACCCTTACCCTTCCCAAACCCGAATCCTTTTGTCCTAGACAGTCACGGGATAGTTGAAGGAGCAACTAGATTGGAGGTTGATGCAGTTGAGTGTGACCAAGTTGAGGTTGGGAGTGTTGAGAACATACCAACAATTGGGGCGGACAGTGTACTTTTGGAGGAATTTGAGCGTGCACTAACTTGGAGAGCTTGGAGGTTGGGAGATCACAATAGGTTGGCCGAAACAATAGGGCCAAATACTTTGGAAAGAGAGGAACTAGTGTTAAGTTGGCTAGGCACACGTGATCTTGCCCGAGCCACCCGTTTATCGGTAATTAATTCTTGTTTCTTGACAAAGCTTGCAAGAAAGAAAAGGACCGAGAAAAGTGTCATGGTTGAAGCCGCATCGGAAGTGCCGATTGGAGAGTTTGATCCTAATGAAATCCGCCGAGCAACTATCAATTCATTAGAGGAAATTCGAAGAGCACCCGGAGAGGGATCTATGGCACGGATTGATGATGGAGGATTATCGAAGATAGACCTGTATCCTGCCACTGTTGGGGATGAGAACTTAAGCTATGAGTCTTGCTTTCCCCATCCCGCAACGGAAATTACGGGATCTATTCATGATAATGAGAGTGCACCGAGCCATCAAATCTCTTTGAATTTGGATGAAGCACGAAATTTGCCTACCTTGGCACGGCTTGCGAGTTCTATGATCAAGAACACCCGAAAAACCGTACCACCCTGTTGCTTTGTTACAATAATGAGGAGGCCGAACCAAATCTTGCCGAAACAATGCTCACTACTCCTCAAGATGATTTTACTCATTCATTGTCGAATCCAACACCCCCAATGCAAGCCGAAACAGTGTTCAATGTTCAATCCTTACGGGAGGAGATTGTTGGAGATGTCAAGGTAATTCTGCAAGAGTCCACAGGAGGATTAAACACCAAGATGGATGCAATGGACAACAATCTTGATGGCTATCACAAATACATGGTGGACTGTGCTTTGCAATTGTTCAATAGGCAATGCCTATTGAAAAGTGAAATTGATACGGCAAAGGAGGAGTTAAAGAATGAAGTGATAAAATTGTTTGTTGAAATGGGAAAGCTTGGGTCCGAAACAACCTCAAGGCTCAAGCTATTGGAGCAACAAATGAAGGGAGTTCTACAACAATCCCACATCAACATGGACCTTCTTGAAGGTGTTCGTGATAAGCAAAATACTTTCCTCGGAGAGCTTTCAAAGGTTTATTAATGCTGCCGAAAAGGGGGAAGGATTGGCAAGTCATTTTGTACCACAAGCGTATGCATATGCATCATCACAACCGAGAGCTCCACGACCAAGAGGAGGACCATTGGTGGAACTTGTTCGACCGTCAACAACACCTAGAAGCCGCGGAAGCATGATGGATTATCTTAGAGGTACTTGCCCTAGCTCAAGCTCAACCCGTCATGATGTGTTGCCACCCACGCCAATTGCACCAATGTCGAAGCCTATTGCTACAAGGATACAAAAATTGCAAGAGCTTCAAATCGAGTTCGGACATCGGAGTGAACAAATGAGCGATGGTCGTACGTTCGATGAATGCATCTTTTGGCACGAAGCAGGTGTGTTGAAAGGAGACAACATAAGAGAAGCTTACGGTAACTACGTGACCAGACAAGTAGCAGCACCTTTTCAACACAAGGGCCTCGAGAAGGACTTCAAGAAATTGAGGGCTCACATCAATGCTAAATTAAGAGAGAGGTAAAAATTTGATTGACAAATTTTTTGGTGTATAATTTATTTTAGCTAGCACATTATCTTCTGATACTATATCTATGCTAAGCTAAAATGGGTTGAAAATGCATGACACAAATTTTGGTACCATACGTATCTAGTGTGTCTTAGTTATTTTATTTATTTGTGTTTAGTATGTTACAAGATTTTAATTTGGACTTAGAATTAATATTGTAACAGGTATCATATGAGAATATAAAATTTAGGGGGAAGAAAAAATTCAAGCTAAAAAGAAAAATGACAACCCCACGATCAAAGTCTCAAATATACGTTTAGGTTGTCCAAATTGAAAAATCTATAAGTCTCAATTTTTGTTAAACCCGTCAATTGGCTAGTCGAAATAAAAGCAATTAAAAAGAAATTATTTTTCAAAATTGACAAAGCCAAAATGACTTGGGTATAAGTTTCGGCATCATCAAAAAGGGGGAAATTGTTAGGAATAAATTGTAAATTTTGATGAGCCGAATGTATTTTTGAAAAATCAAGTAGTTCCCATTATTATTCTATTTGAGTCAGTTTGAGTCTACAGAGTATGGTGCACCCACATCATGCAACCCATGTACAAGTCTGGAAGATCATAATTTACTTGAAGAAGTTAAGCGGGATTATAGCTTAACACAATTATGATGCGTATAAGTTGCCAAGAACCATGCTAGAGGAGTTGGATGATATGTGTAAGAGCTATGCCAAATGATCTTAAGTTTGAATCTTAAGTTAAGCATTTTTACCTTGCTTGGGAGACTATCTCCACCGTATAGGAAACTATCTAAACCATATGGGAGACTAGCTAAAATGGAGACTAGCTAGCTGGGAGACTAACAAGCTAAATTGGAGACTAGCTGGGAGACTAACAAAGGTGAATGCACAAGTCTCACAAGAGCCATGCACCAGATGAAGAAACACACCAAGTATGGTGGACCAAGCATAAAATCGAAACAGAGCATCTCACGAACAACGATGAAGTTTCTACAGAGGTTCCAATATATTGTTTTACAAGGATCATGAAGGAGAAAATATCTGATATATTTCCATCTGAACATCAACTTTTTACGGTGGAACCGGAGACGCTCGAAGGATGCTGATTTACGGAGAAATTGTTTCATATTCAAGCAAGAATCAGCAGATAAATTATTTGATCAACTTGACATGTCAGAGCATTTATGAAGGACAAGAAAAATCAAGTTTTCCGCGCCAAACTTATTCAAATCTTGGAGACTACAAAATTCAAGACACGGCAACGGGCAAAATATTCAAATCATCTGACAAAAGGAGAAAAGACTTCTACCTAATAATTCAGATCAAGTTGACAATATTATTTGATCAACTACAATTCAAAATGGACGATCGAGATCGAAAGTTGATCAACGGGCAAATAGCTTTCTTTGGCTATAAATTGCCCAAGTAGACTTGAAGACAGGTGGACACTTGAACAAGAGCAGAATAAGAAAAACAAATCCAATCAATCATCAAGTGATATATTGAGCTATATACGAAAGAATTCAAGTATGAGTGAGAGAAAAAATTTATCTCTTTGTAAACTTCTCTACTGAGTGTAGAAAGACGGCGGAGTAACAAGAGAGAGTGAAAAATCCTGGTTGAGTCTAGCTTTGTGCGTAGCACTCGGTGTAAAGGGCAGAGTAACAAGGGGAGCTTGTGAAAACCCTGTGAGGACGTAGCTTTGTGCGTACTTCTCGTGGTGTAGGGGTACAGCTTGGTGCGAAGTACTCGGGAAGGTGGAGTAACAAGAGGAGCTTGCGAAAAACCTTGGAGGAGTGTAGCTTTGTGTGAAACACTTGGAGAAGTGTCAGTGGACAATTATTCACTATTGTATCTGGGTGATCGAAGAATAGTGAATTTCCTCCTTGAAGTGAAAGGAGAAGAGTGGACTAGGAGGATTACACCACCTCTGAACCACTATAAATCTCTCTCTCTATTTACTTACTGCTCATATATTTTGTGCATGCTTATTCTAACTGCGAACTAACCCCATTACGATTTATCGCATATCTTTATCTATCTGGGTTTGATAGTTCCCACGTTTGCATGCAAGCCAAACTTTACGTATATCATCCTTGAACCATTTCAAGTGTTTCTAACGTGTTGCATGTTTAGAATCTCTCTTTGAGCACCGCACTATTAAGTATAACACTTTACCGCTATCCATTCTGCTGCACACGCTAAGTTGTTTATCTTGTTGATGCTTGTTACTTAGAGTTGAAATTACCAAAGTGTTATTTGCCTTGTGTGTTTTCGAAGAAAGTTTGAAAAGTTAGAGAAGTCTATTCACCCCCCCCCCCCCCCCTTCTCTAGACTTCTCACCACCCTTTCGGGACCAACAGAGTTGATTAGAGATATACTTATGTATTCCCAAGTCTCAAAACTATTTTATGTATCAAATGTATATCTATGTATCTTTACACATTGGAGTGGGGTTACTTAGCATAATCGCTAACGGTTATTTAAAATGTTTTCAGGTACAGATAGTCTGTCCAAGAGAGCGTTAGATAAAGCCCCGGTCTAGATTGACTTAGCTCTATTTTCCCTTACTTCGCTTGTTTGGCCTGTGACCCACTTTTGTATATTTTGACTGTTGGATTAGTTAGTTTTGTTTTAGCCTGTGCACCTGAGTTGATAGCTTAGGTGTGACATAATATCCCTGTATACTTATGTTTAGCTTCCGCAAATTTTATGTTATGATGGTTAGACTTATCTTTAATTCCTAAGTTTAAATGCTTTATATTTTGTCTAGTTTTGGGGGTGTTACATGTATTCAATGGTTTTGGTCACTTGGGCAAACTAAAACAAAAGAGGAGCAAAAGATCAAGACATTGCAATTTTTGCTCATTTCGATCACTGTTCGATAATTTGACCATATCTCGGTCTAGGACTGTCCAAATGAAGTGATTCTTACACAATTGGAAAGAAGACTCGAAGGGCTATAAGGTTTATGAAGACCATAAATTCGGATTCAGAATTTTTGAAGGCCAAACGACATGGCCAAGTGCACGGCCGTGCCTGAGGCCGTGTGCAATTTCCATAAACACTGCCCAAAATGCAGTTTTTGGACACGGCCAGTGGCATGGCCTTGTCCCTAGCCATGTCACCCGTGCTCTGCACTTATTTAAGTTCGATTTCAGCATTTTCTACACAGTTTTGGACCTTGTTCCAATTCTAGGCATTCTCTACTCACTGCTTTCATATTTTACGGCTAGAATATGCTTAGGTTTAGGTTCCACAACATATTTCAAGCTTGTAATCAAGGATTCAACACTTGGATTCCAAGATTTTCCATCCATTTCATTATAGAAGTTTTCTTTCCCTTATCTCTTTTCTTTTGCAATGTTTATGCTTTACATTTATGTTTTTGTGTTCTTTATGCTATTGAATCATGAGTAGTTAGTTTATGGACTTGAGTTAGGGTTGTATTACCTATCTTGATGGTTAGTTTGTGATTATTGCAAAAAAGGGGAAGAACTCTAAGCTAGGGTTCTTGAGTTTATGATGGATTTGTGTTTGTATATTATTAATATAATGCTTGGTGTACAACATTCATTAACATGTTTTGGGAGATTCTTGGCCTCAATGAGAGTTGGGTCAAGATTTCAAGCCACTCCTTGCATAAACCCGATTTCTTCATATGAAAATAGGGGAAATTTGGGGCTTTGATGCTTTGTGTTCTTGAAGAACTTGGAGTAGATTCACCATGAAGGTGAGGCAATTCCTTGTTCTAATCCTTGTTAAATTGCTCACGTGAGTGACGTATAGACTAGGATTCTTACGTGCATCCCCTTAAGTCCTTGGTTGTGTGATTTTCCCCAATCCTTAGGTTGTGTTATGCATCTAGAAGATTTCTTTGTTTAGTGTTTATATCTTGTTAATATGTGTTTGTGTTACTTTGTTTAATTACCATAAGTCCGTAACCTTGAAACCTGTTGTTATTTTCTTAGCTTCTTGTTGATTTCCTTATGCTTGTGCCTAGTTTCTTGTGATTGTGTATTACGTGTCATAAATCCCAATCTCCTGAGGATGACATTTCACACCCGTACACTCACTATAACTCATTTTTGCTACAACCAAAAATTGGCGTCGTTTCTGGGGATTGACAATTTGGTGGTTTTATGTGATTGCTTGTTTTACTAGCATTATTGGAGATTATGACATCTTAGGAGACTAAGTTTTTTCTTCATTTTGTTTGTTTTTATTGTTTAAAGAGCTAATTGTTTTACCTTGTTTGAGTTTCGGTTGAAAGATCCATACTTTGTGCATACACTCTAGATTCTAAAGGAGGAAATTTTAACACTCAATCAAGAACTTTTACCATGGATGAGTATGCATTCCAAGGAGGATATTATGATTCTCAATCTTATGAGGGTAACAAACATGATGGAATCCTTGCACAACTCAACCCCACCTCCTAAACATTACTATGATGATCACGAGATACGAATACTGCTAGCTGCTAAATAATAGAAAAATACTTGTATTAAGTCTAAAAGGGTAGGCTGAATAGTTGAAACATGATTCTCGTACCAGAAGGTAACGAATTCAATTTTTGCCTACATCATCTCAGTCAAACTCGTTACATAGAGTCATTTTAGTGTGATTGAACTCTCCTGCGTGGTTTCCGGTCTACTACACATAAGTAATGTTTATAAAAAATTCTTAACCTCCGGTAAAACAGTAATAATAAAATATTCTCCGCATGGGCTTAGCTCACTGGTTCAGTCAGTGTTGCAAAAATTGCGCCTAGGCGCTAGGCGGCCCCCGGCCACTGCGAGGAAGGCCGGAATCGGCCTCCTCCACGACCGGCCGGCTAGGCAGTCTAGACGGCCGCCTAGCCGGCCGGTTCGGTCGATTAATTATTATTATTATTATTATTGTTTTATTTTTTAGGTTTAGGGTCTAAAACTTTGTCGATGCATAACTTTTGACTCGGTTGTTCGTTTTTGACAATTTTTTTTCAAATCGCGTATTTTTTTCGAGATCTATACACCGCAAACAGCCAAAGGCGGTTTGCCCCACTAATTTCTCAAAAAAATATTTCTTTAGCTCTTAATTTTAGTTTTTTTTTTTATGTATTTAGACGGTTTAAACAATCTTTGAAACAATTTTACAACCACTTACGTAAATAGTTTGTACTTTGTAAGAAATAACTATGGGAACCTTATGTTTTATAAGTGAATTTTGATAATTTTTGATTTTTAACTTTTTTTATTAAAAAAATCGGCGCCTAAGGGGCGCTAACGTGTTTTGCAACAGTGTCCTTAGCTTAACCTTGACTTTGTTTTGACTCCAAACTCATCCTAGAACTTCCCTTGCTTTTACACTTGACCTACTATGGTTCCGAAACACTAACAATCACCATAAAACATTCAAAACATGTGTAAACTATATATAAATGATAAAACAAGAGAATATGTAATTAAAGTAACATTTTCATGAACTTAAACCCCACAAATTGATTCAAACTAACACTAGAAACATATACAATTAATCTCATATCAGTTGACCAATTTAAAGGCAGGTAATGAATATAGGGGATTAGGAGTGTTTCAGTAAGTAATGCTATGTGAGGGAGTAAATATGACATAATTTTAAGAGAAAAGATTAGAACGGTAATATTTCTCTAGTAAATATGAATACTTGGAATTGAAAGTAAAGCTATCGTATTAATTTCATTTTTGGACAAAATTATTCGACTACAATAACATTTTTACTTTTGTTTGTCAATTACCAATCCCATCACATTTAATTTGATTCCCACAGATGGACAGCGCTGAAGCTAGATATGGCTAAAGCGTATGACAGAATGGAATGGGGATTCTTGGAAAATATGCTGCTAGCTATGGGGTTTGCCCGTAGATGGGTTAATCTCGTGCTCTTATGTGTGAACTCGGTCAAATACAATGTTGTGGTTAATGGAGATGTGGTGGGGTCGGTGGAGCCAACTCGGGGTATCCGCCAAGGTGTCCCGATTTCCCCGTATTTATTTATAATATGCGCAGAAGGGTTGTCTCTACTTCTACAACAGGAAGAGACTCGGGGTAATATACATGGCATTCGGGTGACTAGGTCAGCCCCGCCTGTATCACACCTCTTTTTTGCCGACGATAGTATGCTTTTTTTCAAGGCAACTATAGGGGAAACGCAAAAAGTGCAAGAATGTCTAAAATTGTATAGTTGCGTTTCAGGTCAAGTGATTAATTATGCTAAATCCAACATAATGTTCAGTGCTAACACAGAGCCGGGCATACGAGAACAGGTGTCGGGAATTTTTGGGGTACAACAAGTCGAAGATTTTGGAAGGTATTTAGGCTTACCATCATTTCTGGGTCGCAACAAATCTCTGGTTTTTAAATTTATTGAACAGCGACTGCGTGACAGGATATGTACATGGCAGAAGAAATTGTTGTCCAGGGCCGGGAAAGAAGTACTTCTAAAGAGTATTGCACAGTCTATGCCGATATTTGCCATGTCAGTATTTCTACTCCCGAGAAGCGTCTGCGACTCGATTGAGAAAATGATGAACCAATTTTGGTGGAAGAACGGGTCTACCAACGACCGAGGCATACACTGGATGTCCTGGTCTCGTTTAGCAGTTCCTAAACACTTCGGTGGAATGGGTTTCAAGCGTCTCAATGAATTCAATAGAGCACTCCTGGCTAAGCAAGAGTGGTGAATTATTACTCGGCCAAACTCATTAGTAAGCCGGCTCCTAAAAGCGAGGTATTTCCCTAACACCGATTTTCTTGAGGCAAATAGTGGCAATAATCTGAGCTACCTTTGGAGGAGCATTCTAGCAGGCCGGGAACTGTTACACCAGGGACTCATTTGACGGATTGGGGATGGCAATGACACACTAGTGTGGGGCCATAATTGGGTAGCTGATGCTTGCAACGTTCCTCTATCTACGCCTTGCGCTGAACCTTTGCGGTATACCAAGGTAAGCCAACTTATGACCGAAAAAGGTGATTGGGATCTAGAGGTCCTCAGAGATATACTTTCGTTGCAGGACGTGGAGAGAATTATTAAAACTCCAATATCCATACATTACCCTGATTCTTGGTGTTGGGCGAACGATATGAGAGGCCTATACTCGGTTAAACAAGGTTACCAGGCTTTGACAGCTGCGACACTGACTCAAAATTCATCCCACGAATTCACTGATTGGAGGAAACTCTGGAATATTCCAGTCCCACCGAAAGTTATCAACCTGTTATGGCGCGGCGTCTGGGGAATTCTGCCAGTTCGTGAGAGTCTGAAGATGAAAGGAATTTGGATAGGAGGCGGCTGCCCTCTATGTACATCCGATGTCGAAACAATCGAGCATTTATTCCTCGAGTGTTTAGCCGTGAGGCATCTATGGGGGACGGACAACATCCTCCAAGGATCGACGTTTGCAGGTTATATTAATACTGCGTTAACAACACTGTCCCAGTCATCTTTGGTGAATTTAGCGGCGCGGACTTGGGTGATCTGGAATACAAGAAATAATATAATTTGGCATGATAAGGCTTGGACCGTGGAAGGGCTTAAGCGACAGGTAGCTGAGTTTGCTGCAACCTGGATAGAAATCTTGTCACCAGCGAACAATGGCCGCCTCCGGATAGTTACTATACCGTCGACATGGACGCCACCACCGGCCGGATCCCTGAAATGCAACATAGATGCGGCCGTGTCTGATAGCGGAATTTTTTATGGAGCAATAATCCGGGATCACTTGGGACATTTTGTGGCTGCCCGAAGCGGAAGACTTCAAGGTGTTCATGAACCATACTGTGCGGAAGCTTTGGCAATCAAAGAAGCTTTAACATGGATCAAGTCCAGATCTTCAGCGAATTACATTTTAGAGACCGACTGCTTAAATTTTTGTAACAATTTTAATTCGGTCAGTCAAGATTTGTCCTATGTAGGTTTGGTTATCAAACAATGTCGTGACATTGTAAGAAACGTTGGGAACATTTTGGTTCACTACGTAAAAAGGCCAGCGAATCATGTGGCCCATGCGCTCGCGCAGGCTGCCGGTTCCTCTTCTGTCCTTGGGGTGTGGATTATTCACCCTCCTGATTGTATTTCGAGATTAATTTAATGAATTTTCTTTCTGTTTCAAAAAAAAAAAATTGATTCCCACAACATTTTCAGACTCACCAATTTAATTCAAATGAAAATGTCCATAATGACCTTGTATGAAAAGAAAAAGAGAAAATTTCAATTTTGGTCCACTGACTATTGGAGTTGTGTTAATTGCAACACTTGACTTTCAAAAATATTAATTTAGTACCTTAACTATGCAATTTTTATCAATTTTGGTCACACCGGCCAAATTACCGGCCAAATGTGACCGGAAAATTTTAAATCAATAATTAATCTTAAATGGAAAGGGCAAAATCGTCATTTCATGTCACCTCCTTCTTCTTCAATTCCTTGCACCTGCTGGCCGGAATTGCATCGCCAGCCGATCAGTATTCTGTAACGTTTATCCGTTACTATTATTATAACATTAGGATAAGTTATGATAATATTCAGTATTTGATATGTGGTGCAACACTAATAACCTAACAACTAGACTACCATTATGATTAGGAGTCTAGTTAGGGTTTAGGAGACCTAAAGACAATCAACCACAATGATGGCCAGTGGTTATATAAGGTCACTAGTCCTCTCACTGCTCACATTACATACCTCATACACCATCTAGAGAGAGCTGAGTAAAGTGAGAGACAAAGCACTTATCATCTCTGCAGCAGTCCGGATCGCTCAACCGTAAGAAGAACTATGGCTGGAGGTTAGTACGATCCTATTATCACATATAAGATTATGCATGTGATATTTTAGTCTAACAGTTGGTATCAGTCGCCATAAATAATCTCTGCCTAGTTTTTTTTTAATTGCTTAAATATTTGCACATTTATATATTTTGTTATATAATTGAGATACATGTGTAAATATTCTTGAGTATGCAATTAAATTTTCTGGACTGCTGAAAATAATTTTCCGCATTAAGAATTAATTAAAAAAAAAATTATTATTGGATAATTATTTTGGCCTACTACTTCGCCATTTTTTCTCATGCCGACATCCATTTTTTCTGTTGGCGCTGCTTACGGTAGAAAATTGAAGAAGATGATGTTGTTATGTTAATGGGCCAGGTCTGGCCCAATTTGGGCTAGACCTGGGCTCATTAAGAAAAAAAAAAGAAAATTATATATATTTTTTTAATCTGGGCCTGTTATGGTTTTGGGTCAAATCTGAATTGATATTTGGACTACATCAATTCATTCAGATTAACATCTTCATCATATTTGGACTTCTTCTAATTAAATTATCCAATTGAATTTTTTTTTTATTAAGTCCATTATTAAATTATTATTCAACTTTGAATAATTATTCAGTTTTTAATTTTTCAGTTGAATTTTAATTTAATAATGTTTTTCAGTTTAAATTGTATTAAGTGTTACAATTTAATTGTGGAGTATTTTGTGAGTAATATGCATAATCTGAGCATGCTATTTATGTCTTTATTGCAATAATTATTTGATTGTTATAATTATATGCCTATAGAAAAGCATGTTCATTAAGAAAAATTTAGAGCCTTTTAGGTCTGAATTATATGCTATGCCTGAATTAGTGCCTTTTAGGTGAATTAGTGCCTTTCAGGTTAGATTATGCATATTATTACTCAACCTTCAGTTATTACTCCACTCGTGTTTTATAAAGTTCCTAAAGCACATTAAGTACATAAACAATTCGTAGTTTACCCTATTCAAAGCCTTATCCATAGGTGAAACTACTCTTTAGATCTCTCAAACGATTTTACTTCAAAAATGAGAACACATGAATTAGGGAAGTTTCTTGGGGAGGAATACTAGTTCTACGGCCCTGGCTTAAAAGCCTTGTTGCTACTAGTCCCCTTGCGACGCTACTCTGTCTAAGGAGTTGGTATTTAACCGAGCTTCGTCTCGACCAACTTTCCTGGGAGTATACCTAAGGATTGTCTATCATATTTTGGTTTAATCTGTTTGATTATTAGGTTTTCTTGCTAATGTGATTATGTTCTTTGGCTAATTAAAGAGTAGCCACAGCATCTTTAATTTTTCCAAAATTACATATTAAGTTTTACTCACATAAAGCTAATGCAAGAATATTGTAATTCACTCTGCGTGATATGGCAAAATTTAGCCCACAGGCAATTTTGTTATATTTGTAGGGTGAATTAGGATGAAATACCATACTATGATCATAATTTGCCCACAGGGATTATGTATCGGCATATAGTTTTGGTAGTTTTGTCATTAAGGGTGGAAAAATTAAAATCGCCCCTATTTCGTTTCCACCATTCAGTTTTGGTAAATTCATTATGCGTAAAAATTTAGCCCACAGGCAATTTTTATGGCATCCGAATTTATCTTTTGCATAATTTTACATTGGTAATATTGTGTACTTCAGTATCTCTCTCTAATTTTGTGCCTCGAAAATATTCTAACCAAGCTTTCAATTTTTCTTTTACAGTCACTCTTCCAATCACTCAATCAATAACAATTGATATTCCTATCCTCAATTATGACAATCACAAAGAGTGGAAAGACGCTGTTTTATTGAATTTAGGAATATTGGGGTTTGATTATGCTCTTCGCAATAAGAAGCCTGCTGAGCTTACTGCGAAAAGCACTGAGGAACAAAAAACGCTATACGAGCGATGGGCAACAGCCAATCGCTTAGGCGTATTCCTCATTAAGTCTAAAATTGCCAGAGAGATTCGTGGTCCCGTCGATGATATTGAGAACATTGAGCCATTAATCAAAGCCATCGATGAGCAATTTGTTGACGCGAATAAATCTCTGGCAAGTACCCTGATAATGAAGTTTATCAATATGCGTCTTTCCACTGTCAAGGGAACGCGGAAACACATCATGGAACTCAGGGACATTGCGGCACAATTGAAGAAGTTGAAAATTATTCTTCCAGATGCCTTTGTGGTGCACTTTGCACTAAATACCCTATCTCAGGAATATAGCGCGTTTAAAATTGCCTATAATACACATAAGGATGAATGGTCTATCAATCAATTGATTACCATGTGTACTCAAGAGGAAACGCGACTTGTAACTGAGCTTGGGGAAAGTGCTTTTATGGCCACAACAAGGCCTAAAAGAATGTCTGGAAAGCCTAAGGGACTTACCATAGCTGCTAAGGGGAAACTAACCCCGAAAGCAGACATTAAGAAGATACAAAAGTGTTTCTTTTGCAAAAAGAAGGGACACATGAAGAAAGATTGTATCAAGTTTCAGAAATGGATGTCCCAAAAAGGTAACATTTCATCTTCTTTCGTTTGTTTCGAATCTAACATGTCAGAAGTTAATACTAATTCCTAGTGGGTTGACTCTGGTTCAACAATCCACATTGCAAACTCTTTGCAGGATATGACAAAACTGAGACAGCCAAAGGGAACTGAGTGTAGCATCTTCTCTGGAAACAAGATTGCGTCACCAGTAGAAGCTGTCGGAGTTTGCAATTTAGTTTTGGACAATGGCTTTGTATTGACATTAGAAAAGACTTTTTATGTTCCTAGTTTTTCTAGGAACTTAGTTTCAGTATCTAGACTTGTACCCTTCGGATATTCTTTTGAGTTTAATACCAATAATATCAAGTTATTTCGTTATTCCACTTGTGTTGGTACTGGTACATTGTCTAATGGTCTTTTCCGTCTTAAATTAAAGAATGATTCAGTTTACAATTCTTTACATGTTCAAAACGGCACCAAACGGTGTAGTATTAACGACAATTCCTCAATGTTGTGGCATCAGAGATTAGGTCATATCTCCCTTGAGCGTATTGAAAGGTTGGTAAAGGATGGAGTACTTTCTACTTTAGACTATACTGACTTTGAGACTTGCGTTGACTGCATTAAGGGTAAGCAGACAAACAAGTCAAAGAAAGGTGCCAATAGAAGTTCAACGTTGTTGGAAATTATTCATACTGACATATGTTGTCCTGATATGACAATACCTGGTCAGAAATATTTCATCACCTTTATTGATGACTTCTCAAGATTTTCCTATGTGTATTTACTTCATCATAAACATGAAGCATTGGATGCCTTTAAATCATTTAAAGCTGAAGTTGAAAACCAATGTAACAGGAAAATACACATAGTTAGGTCTGATAGGGGTGGTGAATACTATGGTAGATATACTGAGAATGGACAAGCACCTGGTCCCTTTGCTAAGTTTCTTCAAGAGCATGGGATTGTTGCCCAATACACCATGCCTGGTTCTCCGGACCAAAATGGTGTAGCTGAAAGAAGAAACCGGACCCTTCTGGATATGGTGCGGAGTATGCTTAGCAACTCTAAGCTTCCTAAGTCGTTGTGGGATGAAGCGCTTAAGACGACAACGTATATATTAAACCGTGTTCCAACCAAGGCTGTCCCTAAGACACCGTTTGAGTTATTCAAAGGTTGGAAACCGAGTTTGCAACATATGCGTGTTTGGGGATGTCCGTCTGAGGTGAGGATATATAACCCACACGAGAAGAAACTTGATCCAAGGACGATTAGTGCTTTCTTTATTGGATATGCACAATCTTCTAAGGGTTATAGGTTCTATTGTCCATCTCATACTACTAGGATAGTGGAATCAAGGAATGCTAAATTTCTTGAAGATGACTTGATTAGTGGGAGTGATCGGTTTAAGGACTTAGTTCCTTCCTTCGATCATATTGACTCTCAACCTTCTATGTCATCTGGTGGGGTTGTACTTATCCGCAGTGTTCCTTTAGTTATGCCTGCAGATATACCACCTACCGTTGAGATTCCACAAACTGTTGAGGATCAGCCTTTGGAAGAACCAGTTCAGGACTTGCAGCAACCGCCTGAACTAGATTTCGAACCAATGGTTGAACGAACTCAGGATATACAGCAAGATTCTGAGCCGATGCAGACTGAACCGATTCAAGAACTGCCACCAGTTCCTGAAGAGGTAGTTGCCCCGCAGCCTGTACAAGGTGATGAGGGTCCAACCTTAAGACGGTCTACTCGGGTAAGGCGATCAGCAGTTCCTAGTTATTATGTTTCGTATCTACAAGAATCTGACATAGGGGCTGAAGATGATCCTGAAACATTCTCTCAAGCCACAAATTGTGCACAATCTGACTTATGGTTAGAAGCCATGAAAGATGAGATGAATTCCATGAAGGACAATGGAGTTTGGGATCTTGTTGAGTTGCCTAATGGGGCCAAGGCCATTGGCTGTAAATGGGGTTTTAAGACTAAAAGAAACTCATTAGGCAACATTGAGAGATACAAGGCCCGGCTTGTTGCCAAGGGATTTACTCAAAAAGAAGGAATCGATTACAAGGAGACTTTTTCTCCTGTATCAAAGAAAGATTCACTTCGTGTCATTCTGGCATTAGTTGCACATTTTAATCTTGAGTTGCAACAAATGGATGTGAAAACCGCTTTCCTAAATGGTGATCTAGAAGAGGAGGTTTATATGAAACAACCTGAAGGTTTCTCTTCTAGGGGTGGTGAGCATTTAGTATGTAAGCTTAAGAAATCCATATACGGTTTAAAACAAGCCTCCCGTCAATGGTACATCAAGTTCGATGGGGTAATTTCTTCATTTGGTTTTGTTGAAAATCCCTCGGATAACTGTATATACCAGAAGGTGAGTGGGAGTAAAATTTGCTTTCTTGTTTTATATGTGGATGACATCTTACTTGCCACCAATGATAAGGGGATGCTTCGTGATGTGAAACAATTTCTTTCTAAAAACTTTGATATGAAGGATATGGGTGATGCCTCTTATGTTATTGGCATTAAAATTCAGAGAGATAGGTCCCGGGGTATACTGGGTTTATCTCAAGAAACCTATATAAACAAAGTTTTAGAGAGATTTCATATGCAAAATTGTTCACCGAACGCTGCTCCCATATCTAAGGGGGATAGATTCAGTTTGGACCAATGTCCGAAAAATGATTTGGAGAAGGAATCCATGGAGAACATCCCTTATGCTGCAGCAGTTGGATGTCTTGGATATATCCAAGTCTGTACGAGGCCGGATATTGCTTTTGCGGTTGGAATGCTAGGGCGTTACCAACACAATCCGGGGTTGGACCATTGGAGAGCTGTAAAGAAGGTTCTAAGGTATCTCAAAGGAACCAAAGGTTACAAGCTTGGGTTTAGGCAGACGGACAATTTAGATCTTGTCGGTTATTCAGACGCGGACTTTGCTGGCTGTGTTGATTCTCGAAAATCAACTTCAGGGTGCGTCTTCATTATGGCCGGTGGGGCTATCTCATGGAGAAGTGTTAAACAGTCCTTAATAGCTACTTCTACCATGGAAGCCGAGTTCGTTTCCTGTTTCGAGGCTACTTCACAGGGTGTTTGGCTAAAGAATTTTATCTCTGGGCTTAGAATTATGGATTCTATATCTAAGCCATTGAAAGTCTACTGTGACAACTCAGCTGCAGTCTTCCTAGCTAAGAACGACAAAAGTGGAAGTCGAACTAAGCACATCGACATCAAGTTCTTAGCAATTAGGGAGCGTGTCAAAAATAAAGTTGTATTCATTGAACACATTCATACTGAGTTGATGTTAGCAGATCCCTTGACTAAAGGCATGCCACCATTTAAGTTCAAGGATCTGATTCAGAAAATGGGACTTTCGCCCAATTTGTAATTTGTATATATACATTCAGTTTTAATAAAATTCTTTAGCATTCAGACATTTTCTCAATTAAGTGTGTACACCTTCATTTACTTTATATTGATGAGAAAATGTACTTCAGGGACTTGGAATAAACATAGGGTTTATTTCGTTGGGTTTTGTTTCCTAATTAAGTGCTCAATGACAGTTTGCATTTGATCATAATGGATACTACTCGTGCTAATGAGAACATATCATTATGGTTGGTGTTTTTCTGTTATTGAGTGGTAGTGCTTGCACCAAGTGGGAGAATGTAACGTTTATCCGTTACTATTATTATAACATTAGGATAAGTTATGATAATATTCAGTATTTGATATGTGGTGCAACACTAATAACCTAACAACTAGACTACCATTATGATTAGGAGTCTAGTTAGGGTTTAGGAGACCTAAAGACAATCAACCACAATGATGGCCAGTGGTTATATAAGGTCACTAGTCCTCTCACTGCTCACATTACATACCTCATACACCATCTAGAGAGAGCTGAGTAAAGTGAGAGACAAAGCACTTATCATCTCTGCAGCAGTCCGGATCGCTCAACCGTAAGAAGAACTATGGCTGGAGGTTAGTACGATCCTATTATCACATATAAGATTATGCATGTGATATTTTAGTCTAACATATTCCTCCCGGACGATGACTTCTTCCTTGCACCATTTTCGGAATTGCAGCGCCGCGCCACATCGTCATTTCTTCTTCTTTCTTGGACCACTTTTATTTGTTACAGATGCTGTATATATATCACACAGTTTGGTTTTCTTTCCTGGACCATATTTATAAATTAACCATACGCTTGTTTGGGAAACATGGACGCCGTAAGGCGCCATGTAATTGGATCTTGAAGATGACACCTTTTCTGTGCGGGAATGGAGTTTCGGTTTCTAGGATCTTCGCTATCATGCCGCCGTACGGGTTCCATATCAGCAGCGGCAAGTCTTCTTGCAGGAGGCGTTTCCAAAGCCCTTCCAACCCAGATTCTGTGATGGGTTCTCTTATGAAGTTGGATTTGGCTTTGAAGAAGTTATGCTGTATAAATATATATCAGAAAGTTTGGTTTGCTTGTTGATTCATATTTTACCCTTTAAGTTTTCAGTCCTGGGACCATATAAATAAACCATGTTTCTAAACATTGCACACACATTTTTGAATGCTAGTAAGATGAGTGTTTTTTTTCCTTAAATCTACTCTGGTCCAATGAAGAAAAAGAAATGATGGCGCTGCAATTCCAGCAAAGGTGCAAGGAATTGGAGAAGAAGAAAGTGACATGAAATGACGTTTTTGTCCCTTTCATTTAAGACTAATTGTTGATTTAAAATTTTCCGGTCACATTTGGCCGGTAATTTGATCGGCGTGACCAAAATTGATAAGAATTGCATAGTCAAGGTACTAAATTAATATTTTTGAAAGTCAAGTGCTGCAATTAACACATCTCCAATAGGCAGTGGACTAAAATTGAAATTTTCTAAAAAAAAAATGTTTAAGGAATTAAAATAAGAGAATTTCAGACATTTTTAAGATTGCATTTGGTCCAAATTATCATATTACTAATTTTACATTTTGAAAAAAATCTCGCATTACTTCCAATAACCTTACAATTCAAAAAATCAAACAAAAACATATAATAATGTAAAAATTATAAAAGTATTGTTCCCAAGGTTGAATCCCCAATCCCAAGGCTCTGCATGTCCCGGCAAGCATTTAGGAGGATATAAATCATTGTAACTCAACTGTAGCATAGGAGC